TACCAGCTTGAGACCTCCAGCTCATTAATCCTGCAGTGTTCCTGGTCTACCCTGTGGTATCTAATCCCCACGTACTTCTCTCCACTATCCCCTCAGGGACCTCTCATTTCTCAGCCCTGGATCTCAAGGATGTCTTTCTCTCAATCCCTTTCAGCACCCAGTCACAGAACACTTTTTTTGCTTTCGCCTGGATTGACCCTGACACCTGCCTCTCTATCCAGCTCACCTGGACCGTCCTACCCCAGGGCTTCTTGGACAGCCCCCATCTATTTGGCCAGGCCTTAGCTTCTGTCCCACATTCTTTGCCTCTCCCCAAGTCTAAACTCACAGAGTATGTAGATGACCTTCTCCTCTGCAGTCCATCCCTACAAATTAGCCACACTAACACCTCTGCTCTCCTAAATTTCTTGTCTAGCTGGGGTCATAGAGTCTCACCTTCTAAGGTCCAACTGTCCACTCCTCAGGTCACCTGCTTGGGAATAACCATTACCCCAATGCATAAAGTCATTACTTTAGATAGAAAACACTTAATGCAGTCTCTTTCAGTCCCCTCTTCTAAAGAAGAAACTTTATTGTTCCTAGGAATAGCTGGCTTCTTATATTCCTGGACCCCCTCTTTTTCCTTCTTGCTCACCCCTTACATTGTTTTTGTTTTTCTTTTTTCCAGACAGGGTTTCTCTGTATTGTTTTGGAGGCTGTCCTGGAACTCGCTCTGTAGACCAGGCTGGTCTCGAATTCACGCCTGCCTCTGCCTCCCAAATGCTGGGATTAAAGGCGTGCACCACCAACGCCAGGTGCTCATAAGGCAGTCCTTGGCCTCTCACATGAATCACCTCTCATTCCCATTACTAAGCCCTTCTAAAAGCTCCAGCAGGCCCTCCTCCAGGCCCCAGCACTACATCTCACAGACCCAACCCACCCCTTCTCTCTCTATGCAGCAAAAAAGAGGGACGTGCCCTTGGGGTTCTAGGCCACCAGATGGGACCTTCCTTAACCCTAACCCTAACCCTAACCTTTCAAAAATTAGACCTTACCACCCAGGGACGGACACCCTGCACATGTGCTTTAGCGGCTGCTGAGCTTCTCATTCGTGAATCAAAAAAAAAAAAAAACACTAAATTTTGGGTCGCCCATCACTATCTTCTCCTCTCACAACCTGTCCCATCCCTTAACTAATAAAGACAAACTCTGCCTCGTTCCTGGGTTCTTTCTCCCCAGGTAGTGCTGGTAGAAGATGCCACACTTACTTTTCAATCTTGCCCATTCTTCAATGTCTCAAACCTTTCCTGACCCAACACCAACCCTTCTCCACCTCACTCTTGCTGAAACCCTAGAGGAACTACTGCCCCATCCCTCATACATGCAGGAGGCTGCATTGCCTCGGGCCAGCCATACCTGTTATACAGATGGCAGCTCCTTTATACACGAGGGGGTCTGAAAGCAGGCTCTGCCATTGTATCAGACACGGAGGCGATCGAGGCAAAGGCCTTGCTTGTCCACACCACAGGCTGAATTAATAGCTCTCACCAGTGCCTGCCAGTTAGCCCAAGGGCAATCCTTAAATGTTTACACAGACTCCAAATATGCTTTTCATGTTGTCATGTCCCACTCTGTCCTCTGGAAGGAACACAGAATTCTTACAGCAAAAGGGGGGGGGTGGTCCATAACCAACTCAGGTCAAATTATGGTCATCTAAAAGCCACCCATCTCCTCACAACCATAGGGATTGTCCACTGCTGGTCCCACCAGACTGACAACTCCACCATCTCTAGGGGAAACAGTCGAGCTAAAGAGGCAGCTAGAGGCGCAGCCTTCCAAGGCCCAGATTTAGCTAACCCACTGCAGGGAATCCTTTTCTATAACCCACAGCCCCTGACACTCGACACATTCTGTCCTGTCTACATCAGCTCTTTCATCCTCATAGCCAAGCTCTGTCTCACTTTGTCAAGGCCCGTCTGAAGCCTGCCCCTGAGGACTTGCATTTCCTAAGGACTATTACTGCCTTTTGTAAAATCTGCCAAATGTCAGATCCCAACTCTAGATTATCACAGCCCTCCTTTTCCTCCTGGGGACTGACTGGAAACTTGACTTCACCCACATGCCTACAGTCAGGTAAGTTAGGTACCTCCTGGTCTAAGTGGACACATTCCCAGACTAGGTGGAGGCATTTCCAACCACTAACAAAGGGGTTCAGATGGTCTGTGACCTCCTCCACTGAGAGATCATTCCTGGATTTGGAATCCCCACCTCCCTCCAGTCAGACAATGGTCCTGAATTCACCTTCCAGGTTTCCCAAAATCTATCTAAAGTCCTCAGCATTCCTTGGCATTTCCATATTCCATATCATTCCCAGTCCTCAGGAAAGAAAGAATGAGCTAATCACTCCTTACAAAACACCCTTGTCCAAATGTCATAGGAACTTCACCTTGATTGGGTGAAGCTCCTGCCTCTGGCTCTTCTCAGGCTCCGGTCTCTCCCCAAACAACCCATAACCATCTCACCATTTGAACTCATGGTTCTAACCCCCATTCTCAGTCAAACCCTCATCCTTCCCTGACCACCTACTCACTTCCTTACTCTACATCTCCGCTCCAGCCTACGAAACTTCCATGACCCCTCCCTGCCCCAACCATGCTCTAACCCTGTCCATCTCCAATCAACAATGGGAGCAGGTTCTTCTCTCTCCTCCAGACCAACATCCCTCACCCTTCACCCCTAAATGGCAGGGCTCCTTCAAGGTAAAAACCCCCATAGCTGCTAAGCTTGAGGGCCCCACTGGATTCATTCATCCCACCTCAAGCCCTATACTCCCCCACCTCAAGACAACCTTCCTTCATACACATCAACTCCAACAGGACCCTGCTCCCTTAAGCCTCAGAGGGCACCGAGATCAACTGCCTTGTGCCCAATACCGGAAGAACAAGGCTCCACCCCACAGCGGTGCTCAGCTCTACTGGGCTGAGAACCCCATGGAAGCAGGCACTTTCCTTCCTGACCGCTTCCCTCACTCCCCTGTCTATACCAATCACACCCTGCCTCGCCCATTTCCTCACCATGTGCCTCCAATCAAACACCGAATCAGCTGCTGCTACAGGACTGATGACTGTTAGCCACGGAGTCGCAGATGCAAGGCTACCAAACACCCCCAACAGCACCCAAGAGGTGTCCATGCCCCCTCCAGACCCCCCAAAAAGGAGACTCATGGAACAGATATCAATGTAACTCTTTACTATCCCTTTATTTAAAAGGCACTCACTCTGCAGTGACTGTCCTCGGTAACCAACCACCTGTGACAGAAAGAGGGCATCAGGTTGATGCTGTGGTGACAGGAAGGGGCCGGGTGCTTTAAGGTTTGTTTGTGTAAAGACAGGAAAACTTAAGTGGTGATAAGGAGAAAGTGGCCTGAGATGTATAAAAGAGTGAATCATGACCCAGATTTCCCTCTCCCTGTGATACTGCTGTACCCAGACTCCAAAGGTCCATAGTCTTAACCGTAGGCGACGGAATTCTGACAAGCTAATAATCTGGCAGAATACTGCCACTATGTGAGTATACTACCCTTTCTGCAATGTGGATTTCAGTACAGATTACAGACACTGGGAAATGTTAAATGTGTCTATAACTTATATCTTTTTGGAAACTCAAAAACATCTTGTGAGCTTCAGGGAGTCAACTCGGATCCATCCCACACAGGTCCACCAGCACCGGATGATCCCACAGAGCCTGGACAATGAAGTGAAACAGCCAGCTACCTCAGGACTTGACCAGCACCTGAGTCTTTCTCAGGTCTCCGCAAAACGTGACACCCCAAGGTCAACAGGAAGCAGTCTCAAAAACACAACACCCTCATGCCTGCCTCCTCTGCCACCCTTCCTATTTTTTTTTTACCTTGGCAGGATTCAGGCATTACACTGACCCGTCTTTATGGTCTTCAACCACAGCACCTAAGAATACTGTGTGCATGCACCCGTCAGTACTCAGGCATTACACTGGCCAGCCCTAAGGGTCCTGACAGAATATGTTATCAAGCCATGCATGCAAGTGTCATACCCCCTAATAAAAAGCAGGCCCCTTCTGGGCCTCCCTTCCTCTTCTTCAGCTCCCGTCTCCAGAGGCTGCTCTCCCTTCCACTTTCCATTCCCCTCCCCCAAAACCTCCCTCATGAGTTCTGTTGTGTGGTGTAGCCTTTATTTCTCATGGCTGGACCACACCACTAAAACAAAACCAACACCACCCATTCCTTCATGTCAGTCCCTGATTCCTAGAAACACCCACTACGAGACCGCCAGTGGCCACACCTGGCAGGGACTCAGGTCGGTGAATTATGCTATTATTCCTAGCTTTTATTATGATCTTTCCATTCTCACTCTTAGCCCCCAAACAATCTTCTGCTTACAGGTCCCCCTCCTCCTACTTCAGTTTCATCCACTGGAGAATCCAACTCTTGGTTTATATCAGATTCCTCTAACAATTTCACCCTTGTCATGTAAGGTAATTCTTACTATAACCTACTAGCAGGATCTCCTCCTTCCAGCATATCCCCACCCCATGGACCCCATACTTACATGCCAACAGGGTCCTGTTATCTCTTTCCTGAAGTCCCTCTCAGACTACTTTTCTCCTAGCCCACCTCTATCCATCTCTGCTATCTACTTACCTACTCAAGCACTCAGTAGCAGGCAACCCTCAGCCTCCACACTTGCCTAAGATCTAGAGAGAGCAGCAGAAACCAAGACACAGAACACCCATCTAGCTAAGACCGAGATCTACACCACGAATCACCTTACCTAAACCAACCACAGTTGCCTAGACGCCAGTGAAAAAAACACGAGCGTTAACAACCACTAGGACCCAGTAACCTTACTACAGTAGAACATGAGAAACACTATATAGCTGAAGTATAAGACAAGGCCTTCAAAACGGCTGTTATGTGATGCTGCAACGATAAACGGCACACTCATTGAAAGTATAAGTTAGTATTTGTTGTAGAAAGTACTCACAAGAGAAAAACAAGCAACCCAGATGAGCCGAGTATTTTTCCACCACTGACCTGGAAGCCGAAGAGAGGGCGAGAGGTTCTGCTGCTCAGTCTTTTATTCCTTCCTCCGTACACGCCCCTAGCCATGCCCAAAAGTGGGCCTGGCTAGTGACGTAGTTCACTGCCTACATCCATATATGTCTTTAGTCATGCTTAAAGTGGGTGTGGTTAATGGTGTGGTAAACTGCCCTTTTACTACCTCATCTGTATGTGCCTCTAATATGCCACATGGTTAATGGTGGAGTACTAAATTTCACCCTACAATTCCCCTTTTAGTCTAAAAAGGATATTTAAACTTAAAACAAAAGTAACTTGTGTCAATGAACAAAATGTATCAAACATCTATCCCATCTAAACCTAAGCTTATCTGAAAGAAACACCCAAGTCTGAACACCTCCTTCCAGTCCCAACTCTAAAATAATTGAAAACTAACACTAACAGGTGTAAACTATCCTATAATATTAATAGTAGGGAGAGGGAGCATGGAATTCTCAAAACTAACTCCTGCTGAGATGGGACGATGACAATCTCATAGGGACCTGTAAGAAGAAAAATGTTAGTGTAACAAAATCTTCAGTAGATTAGACAATTTCTGTTTGGCAGGAGATGCTTGATTGTAGTTCCTGACTGGAGTTCTAGTGTTGATTGAAGCTCTTGTCTGAAGCTCTGGCCAGATTGTAGAAGGTGTGCTATATCAGTTCCTTGGTCTGGAGTTGTGTCCAGTGATGTTGTTCCAAACCGGTTTCAGAATGGTGCTTGTCAGGTGGAGTCGATGATATGGGGCAGTTCAGGTGCATCTAGTCGAATCAGGTGGAGTCAAGGAAGTGGATCCTCATTCTCTTTATGAAGCAGTTGAAGATTGCTGTCAGGAAATCCCTTGTTCTCTGGAAAACTCAAACATTAATGTTAACAAATAAATTTTTTAAAAACTTTTTATGTATGCATGCTGGAAAAGGTGACAATAGGGAAGATGGTAAACATGAAGGAGATTAGACTTGTCAGAAAAAGAAATCCACAGATAATAGTCCCTAATTTTATTTTCTTCTGTTTTATATCAATGGCTCTTTGATTCACCCATTACACTGAAATTCAGGCATTATACAGAAATTCTGAATTTTATTTAAATAATACACTTGAATTTAGAGTAGGAGAGCCAATCCAACTCTAGAGCCAGCTTCAGTTAAATGAATGGGGACTAAAGCATATTAAGGAACAGAAAGAAATGGGTATTATAAAAAACAATACAGAGAGATTTAGACTTTGATACCACACAGTGAGTTATTGTTTGTTTGATGGTCCTCTGGGTAGCTATTAATTCTTCTTCAGGAATACATATGTCCAGTATTCTTTGCTGAGTTTACCTGTGAAGACAAAAAACAAAACACTTCTCTTTCCTTTTATGAGGTCACTTTACCCATGGTGGAATATGAGTTTGTAGATGAACTGTTATCTTTCCTCCTCCTGAGGTTTCTTCTGTTCTGATTGAATCTTAATTAATTTTGATGGAACCCAAAGCTTTTCTTCTCTCTGCATTAAAATTACTGAGGGGTATTCTCTAGATGGTAAAATAACCAGAATACAGTCCAGTTTTGGATTCACACAGTCCACATGTGCCTCTAATATTCTCTGCTCTACCCATTCTAATTCCTTTTCAGCATCAGCTGATAGTACTCGTGGGCTGTTTAGGTCTTTATCTCCTTATAAAGCCATTTTCGGGTGTTTTAAATCATGCCCTTCTACACCGATAATTGTCTGTAATTGAGAGATTTCTCCTAATTGTTTTTGAAGATCATTAAGAGTCTGGTAACGATCTCTTCTGATTTGTACTTTCTGCAGTCTGATTTTCTGAGAGTCTATTTTATAACCTAGATAATTAATCTCCTCTTAGTATTTTTTCTGGGGCAATTTGTAATCCCCAGCGAGGCAAAGTTTCCTTTACTGCTTCAAATACCTTTTCCAAAATATCCTTATTTGAATCAGACAGTACTATGTCATCCATATAATGATATATTAATGAATGTGGAAATTGGTTATGAACTATTTCTAGAGGTTTATGCACAAAATATTGACACAAAGTTGGGCTATTTAACATACCTTGAGTTAGCACCTTCCACTGGAATCTTTGTGCCAGTCAGGAATTATTATAGGTAGGTACTGTGAAATTTTCTCTGTCATTTTGTTGTAAAGGTATAGTGAAGAAGAATCTTTTAAATCCATAACTATAATTGGCTAATCCTTAGGTATTAGAGAAGGTAGTGGCAACCCAGGTTGTAGAGACCCCATAGGCTGAAATGCCTTGTTGATAGCTCTAAGATCAGGAACCATTCTCCCTTTCCCAGACTTCTTCTTGATAACAAAAACAGGTGAATTCCATGCACCAGTTGATTCCTCAATATGTCCAGCATTTAACTGTTCCTGAACTAACTTCTCCAAAGCCTCTAACTTTTCAGATGTCATAGGCCATTGACCCACCCAGACAGGTTCACCTGTTAGCTATTTTAAGGGTAGAGCTTTTGGTTGCTCTGTAGGTTTGGCACTAGCATCCTGTTTCTGTAAAGCCTGTATGTTTGGCATCTGTTTTCTGTACTGCCTTACTATATTCTTTCTACCACCAAGAGCTTGTCTATAATTCCTATCTGATACAGGAGGAATGTTAATCTGCGTATTCCATTGCTGTAATAGATCACGACCCCAGAGATTTATAGCAATATCTGCAACATATGGCTTCAACCTTCCTCTCTGTCCTTATGGCCCAATAAAGTCAATCCATCTAATGCTCTGTTTAACTTGAGATAGGGTTCCAATCCCTAAGAATTGAATGTTTACTTATTTTAAAGGCAAAATCGAGGGGACAAGACTTCTGATTTATGATGGTGATGTCAGTTCAATTGTCTAAAATGCCATTAATCACTGTATTATTTACTTTAATTGGTAACTTGGGTCTATGATATTGTATAGAAGATTGCCAAAATATACGTTTTGTATTTCCTCCTGATATAATTGATTCATCCTCTGTAGTTAATGTATTATCCAGCGCCATATTATTTACAATGGAAAGTGGATCTTCTCATTGTCCTGGGAGAGGCTGTCCTCCACTATCACTGGGAATGACCGGACTACCCTGAGTTTTGGGGCCTTTGTGAGGCCCCTGGACCAGTTTCCCGGCTGTAAAGGTCTACCTTGTCTGTCTGTAGTCGACCAGCATTCCTTGGTCCAATGTTTGCCCTTTCCACACCTCCTACAGAGACCAGAAGGCCTTCTGTCTGAAGCATTCCTGGTAGAAGCATTATTTCTAGGAATGCTTCATCTACAGTTCCTACTCAGATGTCCAATTTTACTACAGTGAAAGCACGTGGCATCTTTATTTCTGTTGAAAATTTTGGAGATTGCCTCCCCTACCCAGGCCTCTATATCATCATGGGTAGGGTTTTTGGCATCCTGGTGACTCCTCAAACCTGTAGAAATCGCTTCACCTACCCAAGCTCCCTTATGACTTTAACATTCAAGGTTAGCTGTATATAGGACCCGTTTCTCCAATGGCGCTGATCTTATTTTTAATGGCCAAAGTACCTGCTTACATTGTGGATTTGCATTCTCATATGCCAAAGATTCTATAAGGAGTTACCAAATTCTGGATTTGTTACTTGTATTTCTATCGCTCTGGACAATCTTTCTAAAAATGCAGTGAACTTTTCCTTTGGACCCTGTACTACTTTGGTATAGGGTTGTATTATCTCTCCTGTTTCACAAACCTTATCCAAAGCATTCAAAGAAGCTGTATGGCATAAAGACAACATGTACTGTCATATGCGGACTGAACCTGTGGGTCAGCATAAGCACCCTTCCCAAAGCGCTTCATAACTGTTCTTTAATCCCTGAATCTCTAGGGCTTTCACCTCTCGCCTCCATAAAGTTCTCCATTGAATTTGACATGAATCTTTGAGCACTGCCAAGGCTACTTGGGCCCAGTCTCTTGGGTTACTCTATTTGAAGTGGCCCATGAAGTTAGGAGCTCTCTGACATAGGGAGAATGAAGACCATATGAAACAATGGCCTCCTTGATTCCCTTTAGGTCCTTCATCTATATAGGTTCCCATTGATAAGCAACGAAACCATTTAGGTGCTTTTTTGTTGCTGTTTTTTTTGGGTACAGATATTGGGAAAACTATAGGTGAGGGCATAACAACCTTAGAAAGATCTTTCTGGCATTTGAGAGGTGTAGGGAAACCTCTGTCCTGACCTGTTGCCTGTATGTCTGATTCTGAAGTATCAGATTGGATGTCTTCTGAGACCTGCAATCTATTTATCATTGTTGTTCTGAGCTCTTGAAGTTCTTGGGTTAAATAATTTTCCAAGGACATCATGGAATCGTTCATTATCTTGCATTCATCACTTATACATGATTCCAAATATTTAATATTCTCATCCTTGGAAAGTATCTCAATAGCATGTAAACTGCCTTCCAGAAATAACATTCTATCAGCTAGTTTTTCATTGGCTCAGACATGGAACAAATCTTTTCTGTAAGCATTTCAAACTTATATTCCAGTCTTTGTAGTTTGCTATTGAAATCATCAAACACGAACAGTTTTGGTGGTTAAATGTTTCAACATTATGTTCCACTTTTTCTATACTGTCTGTTGAACGATAGATATAGAACACATGTTTCCTGAAAGTAATTCAATTTTATGTTCCGTCTCTTTAAATCTGTTTGTCAGATATACATTATCATTTTTAATATCCTGAATATATATATTTTATATATATTTTTATTTTTAAGTTTAAATTTAAATTAGAAACAAGGTTACTTCACATATCAATTCCAGGTCCTGGTACCTTTCCCTTCCCTCCTCCCACACCCTCATACCAAACCCTCCAATATTGCCTCATTTCCCCAGGGAGGGTGAGGCCCTCCATGGGGAGTGTCTATAGTCTGTCATTTCATCCAGGGTAGGGCTTAGAGCCTCCCCTGGGAGTCCAGGGTGAGAGTGCATCTCTCATTGTTAGATGGGTCCCCAAAGTCCATTTGTATAC